TTCCATTTTATCTTTACATTTCCTTTCTTTTGTTCATTGATGGAAGTAGCTTAGTAGATAGAAAACGTTATTCGCAAGTTCCTACTTTTGTATTTAAATTAGATAAACGTATGAATTATCCTGCAATTTTCAGTTACTGACGACAATCTGTTCGTTGCAGCTTCTGGACTCAACAAGTGCTACAGTTGCAACAGTACGGAGAGTATGGATGACTGCAACAAACATAAAAAGAAGATATCTTGTCCAGCCAATACTGAGGGGTGCAGTATGCTCTCTGTCACGTATAAAGCTGACAACGTCGAAATCAAATCGTTCAAGAAATCCTGTGCCACAAAGGCGCAATGCAAAAACCCAGATGTACAATGGCAACGGTGCTCCCATAATGATGGGAAACCTTGCACCTTTCAATGCTGCGTGAATACCGATCTCTGTAATTGAGCTCATACAGTGCCACTGGTCAGCACCTTACTCATGTTTGCCTGTCCAAGGACAAGAAGTCTCCAACGTGTTGTAGGAATCACAATCAAGATTCAATTCRTTGTTGTCAGCGCAATCTTTATGATCAAGTGACGAAAGTTGCAATAAAACACTGAATAATACTCTCGTTACAGTATTAAAACAATCCCTTTCCTCTCTTCGCAAGTAATACTCCTCGATCCCAGCTTCAATTTTCAAAGTCGTTTTAACTGATACCGATTAGTCAAATGATCACCGAGCCACGAGTAAACGCAGGGTTAACAAGGTCGGATTTTAATCGAGATACCGGCGTTGATTTGAAGCCAACACTAATGTAGTCTTTGACACAGACGCTCTTTTGGCTCGTCATGAGTCATGAAAACATCTGCGTATGAGGCTAATGTTAAACACATAGTCATTCCACCAACTCTCAGATAGGCTCAAACAGACTTTGCTGTGTAACAACTAACTCCTCGAACCACTGATCGCCATCAGTATCCGCCGCCTGGATAGCTCAGTTGGTAGAGCCCCAGGCTGCTGTGCGGGAGGTAGAAGGTTCGAGCCCCAGACCGGACCAACACTCAGGGTCTTAAAATACCTGAGGAGAATGTGCTACCTTTGTAATTACATCTGCAGGGGTCGTCAAAAACTCACACACTTATGGCAAAAGATAGGGCATTGAGTTCCCAGTGTTTTAGTCTGGCTTTGTCTCACGGGTCGGT